GGGGGGGGAATCCTTTCTGAAGGAAGAAAGGGAGAGCCCCAAAACTGATTCCTGAGTAATAAACGTAAAGCCTCTGAGTTGAGGCTTTAGGCGGGGGAGTGGTTTCTACCCTGGGCTCCCAGACTGTGTCACCCGCGATGCTTCCTTCCAGCCAGCGTCTTGCTCTGCGGGCACTGACGGCAGTCTCTGAAGAGTGCCGGCCTGGCCAGCACAGCAACTTCCCCCGTGACAATGACCAACTTGTCACCGTTCCCTTTCCAGTCCATAGGTGTGGACCCTCTGCCGGCCAAGCTGTCCTACGACAAGTCGCACGACCAGGTGTGGGTTCTCAGCTGGGGAGACGCGCACAAATCCCGAACGAGCCTCCAGGTACGGCGGGCACGGCGTCCAGCTCCCTGGGGGGAGAGTGGGAGGAAGGAAGAGAAGATGGGAGGGAAAGGGGAGAGGAGGAGAGCAGAAAGAGGGGACAAACAGGAGGGGGGGAATGAGAGGAGACAGTGGAGGGGGTGAAAGGAGACAGAGGGGAAAGGGAGCTAGAGGAAAAGGAGAGAAATAGGGCTGGGAAGGTGGCTCAGTGGTAGAGCGCTTGCCTTGCATGCCTGAGGCCCTGGGTTCGATTCCTCAGCACCACATAAGCGAAGAGATAAAAGCCAGAAGTGGCGCTGTGGCTCAAGTGGTAGAGCGCTAGCCTTGAGCAAAAGAAGCTTAAGAACAGCACCCAGGCCCTGAGTTCAAGCCACAGGATTGGCAGAAATGAATGAAAAAGGAGAGAAACAGAGGGAGGAGAGAAGGGAGCTGAGGTAGGAGGGGAGAAAGGGTTTAGGATAGAGAGGAGGGGAGAAAGGACAGAAGATGAAGGGGAGGTAGGACAGGGCGAGAGGGCAGGAAAGTGAAGAGAGAAAAGGAGAACAGAGAGGGAGGGGAGATACGGGAGGAAAGAAGGGAGCTGGGGAAGAGAGGAGGGAAAGGTGGGGGAAGAGAATAGGAAGGGGAGAGGAAAACAAGGAGAGTGAGGGAGGAGAGAGGAGAGATAGAGGGGAGGGAGAGAAAATAGAAACACAAGAAGGAGAGCTCAGAGAGAGCAGAAGAGAGAATTAGATGGAGGCTGGAGGAGAGAAAGCGAGGCAAGAGTTGAGGGGGCGAGGAGGGAGAAGAGTTCAGTAGAGAGACGGACAGAGGAGAGGAAGAGAAGAGGGAGAGAGTGGGGGGAGGAAGAGGGGAGAGAGTGGGGGGAGGAAGAGGGGAGAGAAGAGAGAGGGGGGAGAGAGAGGAGGGAGGAGAGGGAGGAGGAAGGGAGGAGTGGGAATAAGCCTCCCTCGATCCGGTCGGCTAGGGCTAAGGAAACCAAAAACAAAATCCTGGAAATGTCACAACTTTGAAAAAGAACCAAAACCTAAAGAACATCACCTTCGCGAGGGGCAGTGAGCTCATGTGCACAGAGGGCTGGAATGAAGCAGCGCCAAGAAGAGCGTCTCCGCATCCACCCAGCAGCCACGATCCGATCCACATCGACAAAGATTTCCCTTCCTGCACGGCTTATGGCGCAAAGCTTTGTTTGTTCCTCCAGCCCTGGGGCTGGAGCGCGGGGCCTGGGCCCTGTCCCTGCCCTTCTTTGGCTCAAGGCTAGCGACTCTAGCACATGAGCCACAGCGCCACTTCTACCTTTGGAAATAAGAATCCCACAGGCTTTCCTGCCCCTCAGATCTCCTCCTGAGTAGCTGGGATTACAGCTGTGAGCCACCAGCACCCGGCTGACAAAACCTTTTTATTCAATCCCAGTATTGTTTCTAACTAGCCATCTTTAGGACATGGGGTGAGCTCTGCCCCGGGGTGTGTCTGCCAATGAGGCTCATGCCCAGACTCCCAGCAGGCAGTGTTTGAACCTCTGGCCTCCCCTTGAGTGCTACCCCCAACTCCCTTGCTGGGGTTCCCAGCTTTTAGCCCCCGGGACCCCTGGCTTCCCGTCTCAACTGGCCATCACCCTTCTAAGGAAGACATCCCAGCCTTCTGCGGGCCTAGCCGTGTGCTAGGGCACAAGAAGCAGGCCAAGAATGAAATCGGGACTCTAAGAAACAAGGCGGACATGCGCAGTGCCCCACGGCCCTGCTCCTTTGAGGAATAGGCCGACACTGAGTGATGACAGCCTGTAATTTCCCATCTCTATTCCACGCTAAAATGACAGGCCTGAATCAAGCAATAATCGCACGCCACCCTGGAACTGGCCTGGCATTTGCCCTGGACTCGCAAGAATCCTGTTTCTTCATGCCGTATTTCCTTAATCCCAGGGCAGCTTTTCTTCCATCAACTCGCCATGACAGTTCTCAATGGGCTGTTTCTTTGGGTGTTTTGTTTTTTTTTTTAAACAGGAAAATGAGCCCAGTGCAACTTCAGAACGAAATCACAACACCCATGCTAGCATTCTGCCCCTGACCCCCAGAGGGACAGTAAGGGAGAGAAAATCCCGCTCCAACCGCAGGCTGGCCACCTGTCCTGAAAGGGACAGCCAGAGGCCACCCCATCCTGAAAGGCAGCAGGCATTAAGAACCCCAGCAAAAACTGTACAGGCCCGGCCGCCAGCTTGGATCCCCCTCTTCTGTCCCACAGCCACTAGCCGGCTGGGCATGGTTGCGCACCCCTGTAATCCTAACCTTCCAGAGGATTGTGAGCTTCAGATCAGCAAGATCCAAAAAGAAAAAGAAGGACTGAGGGAGACCCTCCATTTGCCTTGGAAGGGGAAGGGGCCAGCTCCTCCGGTGTGGTGGAAGGTGTGGACAGCGGCCTTAGAACGTGGAGGCTAATGCGCATGCGGGGGAGGCAGAGGGGCCTCAGAGGGGTCCCCTGGCCACTGTCACCACCTGGCTCTGAACCAGCAGGGTTCGCACACTGAGGAACGGATCTGGTCGCCTCCTGCCCAATCCCACAGGGCAGGAAACATCACCCTAGGGAAACTGAGGCAGCCAAGATCCGTCACTACCCAAATACACAAGCAGCCTGAGCCTTTACGGTTCCCAGCGAGTCCCCGTGTGGAATCCGCAGCCTCCCTCCTCCGCCCCGCCCCGCCCCGCCCCGCACTGTAATGGCAGTCTACAGCAAGGCTGGCCAGGACAGATCAGAGAAGGTGGGGTTCCCTGGTGGGAGCAAGGGGGGGTGGTCTCTGAACAAATCGAAGCATGGTTCTGGCCTGGGAGGCCCTCTCAGACCCCCACTCTGCCTTCATGGTGGCCCGGACCAAGGAGGAGAGTGTGTCTGGGGTCTTGTCTTCTCCCCCCCATCCCTCTCCCCACTTCGAGGAAAGATGGGCGCCTGCCTCCAACATTCCTGCCCAACTCCCATGTCCCTCCTACCTCTCTCCCGAGCTGGTTTAGCACCCCTCCCCTTCTCCCCCTGCCCCCCCCCAGGTCTAGCCCTGAGCAAGCAGGTATAGGCCTTGGGACTCCAGGGCCTCTCCTGGCAGGCTGCTCACACGAGATCCCGCTGTGTGTTCTAGGTGATCACAGAAGCCAGCACTGGCCAGGGCCAGCACCTCATCCGCACGCCCTTCGCCGGGGTGGACGACTTCTTCATCCCGCCCACAAACCTCATCATCAACCACATCAGGTGAGGGGGGGATGGGATGGGGCCAGAGCGTGGACCCCACGGCTTAGCAACTGTGTTGGAGCTAATGCTACTGGGGATGCCAGGGACTCATCCTCAGCGTGAACACAGCAGAGAAGAAAAGGAGCGAGTGTCTGCGCGTCCTGTAACATGTGTGTGCATGCTCATACGGGACTTAAACTCGGGGCCTGGGCACTGTCCCGGAGCGCTCAAGGCTGGTCCTCTACCACTTGAGCCACTCCTCCGCTTCCAGCTTTTCGGTCGTTCGTTAGAGATAAGAGTCTCAAACGCTTCTCTGCTCGGGCTGGCTTCGAACTGTGATCCTCACATCTCAGCCTCCTGCAGTGCCAGGCATGTTCTGCCCCCTTGGACGGAAGTGCCAGGACACTTGGGTCTCCATTTCGAATGATGCCACAGGCACCGATTTGCTCAACTGAATCGATACCGTCCAATTTGGACTCATCAGCTAGTCCATGAACCAGCTAAGACAGATCTCCTGTGTTTCCTCTTGGCCTTAAGTCCACACTCACCCCACAGGCCCCAGCCAGCTGCCACAGGCTAGGGGAGCTGAGACTAAAGCCTTTTACGCTCGTTCAAAACCACTTCTGCCCAGAGCACCAGTGGCTCACAGCTGACGGTAATCCTAGCTGCTCAGGAGACCCCAGATCTGAGAATCAGGTTCAGTGCCAGCCTGGAGGTATAGCCAGGCTCACACCCGTAATCCTAGCTACTCAGGAGGCTCAGATCTAAGGATTGCAGTTCAAAGCCAGCCTGGGCGGGAAAGTTCATGAGACTCTTATCTCCAGTAAACCACCAGAAAGCTGGAAGTGGCGCTGTGGCTCAAGTGGTAGAGCACTCGCCTTGAGCTGAAGAGCTGAGGGACAGCGCCCAAGCCCAGACAAAAAGAAAAATGTAGGCATAGCTCAAATGGTAGAGCATCTCAACCAGAAGAGAAAACAGAGCAAGAATGTGGAACCTCCCCCTCTCCCCAGTTCAAGGCCCAATAGCAGCGCGTGCGCACATACACAGACGCACTTATGAAGAGGAGTGCATGACAGAGGCTAAGTCCGGAACCATTGTTCCCTCACCCAGCTCGGCTGACACGCATAATTAAGCCATTCCTGCAGAATGCTCGCTCTTTCTAGGTTGCCGAGGCTGGAGGCGTGGCTCAAGTGGTTAAGCACCTGCTTACTAAACAGTAGACCCTGAGTCTAGTCCCCCCACACCACTGAAATAAACAAGAGAAGAGACCAGTGATAAAGGGAGAGGGGAGGGGTAAGGATGCAGTCATTTCAGACAAACGCCAGCCCTCCCTCCCTACCCCTGGGGGGGAAGCCTCTGGCTCTCTGACCCCCCCCACTCTTCCCCCCTCCCCACTCTCCATTCCCAGGTTTGGCTTCATCTTCAATAAATCCGACCCTGCAGTCCACAAAGTGGATCTGGAGACGCTGACGCCAATCAAGACCATCGGCCTGCGGCAGCATGGCTGCGTGCCCCAGGCCATGGCACACACCCACCTGGGCGGCTACTTCTTCATCCAGTGCCAGCAGGACGCGGCCGCGGCCATGGCGGCCCAGCTGGTCATGGACAGCGTCACTGACTCGGTGCTAGGCCCTAACCGGGGGGTCACGGGCACCCCTCACGTGTCCCCCGATGGGCGCTTCGTCGTGAGCAGCGCCCCGCACAGCCCCCGGCTGCACGTGCAGGAGGTGAGCACGCGGGGCGAGATCCGGACCCTGCGCGAGCTGCAGGTCCACGCGGGCGTCTCGGACGTGGCCTTCCAGCGCTCCTTCACCCACGGCCACCAGTACAACGCGTACACCACCCTCGAGACAGAGCCCGGCCTGCTGTTCCTGGAGCTGTCCACGGGGAAGATGGGGGTGCTGCAGGACTTGAAGGGGTCGCCCCCCGAGCCAGGCCAGTCCTGGGGAGGACCCCGCAGGGTCCTGAGGGACAGCGGGCTCTTCGGACAGTACCTGCTCCTGCCAGCCCGCCAGTCACTCCTCCTGATCAACGGGAGACAGAACACACTGCGGTGTGAGGTGTCGGACATAAAGCGGGGGGCCACCGTGGTGTGGGTGGGCGAGGTATGAAGGAAGCCCAGGCCAGAGCCCCGGAGCCCACCCTGCTCCCCCCCCCAAGGCACCTCCTCGTCCTGAGACACCCCCACCACACACACACACACCCCGAAGCAGGTGCCCATGTACATTGTCACACCTGTATTCGCCGTGCGGTGCAGCTCCGGTCTCCTGGCCAAGTCTTCTAGCATATAAGGGCCTGCGGCTGCTAACAAGATCGGGGGTGTGGGGGGGAGGGTGTTTTGTGATTCTTGTTCTTCATTAGAAAGTATGATTCACCGCCTCGAGCTACGACGAGAACCCATGCTGCTGCGTGAAAGGAATTGGTTTCTGTGCCCAGCTGGGCCACAGCCCCGCCACCCAGCGAGCCTTCCCGCTTTCCAGGCTTGGCCGGTTCCGTGCCCTGGAGAAGACACACCCAGAAGCCGGGGCTGAGCTGCCCACCCCCCACCACGCGGCTGCACCGCACTTGCTCCTTCCTGCCTTCTGCTTTGCTTTCCTTTCCCATCCAATTTTGGTACAAGCTGAGCCAATGAGACTTATTTACACCCTTGGTTGGGGGGAGGGGGGAAGGGGAGGGTCTGGGGGGAGGGGCAGGAGGGGAAAAAAATCATTCTTTATTTTGGAAAGTTTTTGATTAAAAACTAATTTTTTATAATGGCAGATGCTAGTAAGCAGAAAGATACTCTTCTGAGGGCCCAGCCATCTGCCTTCCCTGCCTGCTTTAGGCCGAGTCTCCAAAGGGAGGGAGGGAGGGAGGGACGGATGGAGACCACCCCTCCCACTCCACAGCCAGAAAGAACAGTGATCCTCTTCTGTGCCATTGTAAATCCCTGCTGCCCCCAAACATGGCTTCAGGCTGCCTTATCAGTGACGACTCGAACCCAAGCCCTGAGGGCCAGCTTCTCACCTCATTAGGCAAGCCCAGTTAAGTGCCCTGGATTCAGAGCAGACCAGCCTGGCCAGGCAAAATGGAGGCATCCTCCGGCTCAAACCTTGAGGTTCAAAGTGCTGCCCATCCATCGCTCCTGAGGTGGCTTTTCTACCCAGGTGCTCAGCCACGCCTCCTCCCAGAGCCCTTACACACGCACGCGCACACATACACACACACACACAAAATGCAGCATCTCAGGTGGGCAGCCCTGTGCAGACCTGAGCACCAAGTGGCTCACGTCTGAAATCCATGCTGCTCAGGAGGTTGAAATGGGAGGAACATGGTTCAAAGCCAGCCTAGGCAGGAAATGCTATGAGACTCTTGTCTCGAACCACCAAAAAGCCAGAAGTACAGCTGTGGCTCAAGTGGTAGAGCGCCGGCCTTGAGCACAAAACATCAGCCAGGCCCAGAGCTCAAGCCCCCAGAACCAGGACCAAAAAAAAAAAAAAGGCCCCTAAACACATGTCCCTCACGCATGTCAGTGGTCCCTGCTTCCAGACTTTCACGATTATTAAGTCCCTGAGGTAGACATTAAGTGACAAATCCCAAATACCCCCTTCACCTGCACCATGACCGCTGATGGTGAAAACAGGGACTCTATGCCACTTCCCTAGATAAAAAAACTAGGCACTGGTAGCTCACGCCTGTAATCCTAGCTACTCCGGAGGCTAAGATCTGAGGATCACGATTTGAAGCCAGCCAGAGCAGGAAAGTCCATGAGATTCTTATCTCCCATTAACTATTAAAAAGCCACAAGTAGAGGTGTGGCTGAAGTGGTACAGTGCCAGCCTTGACCGAAAAAAAGAAAAATAGCCAAGCAAGAATGCAAGATACTGAGTTCCTGCTCCAGTACTGACACAAAGAAAAACAAAAACAAAAAAACTAACGTTCCCTTTCATAAAAGCTGAAACAGCAGGAATCCATCTTACCTCTTTCTTTTATGAATCAATTAACCTATTTGCTTCCAAATTCCCACATTCATCACTAAAATTCTCTAGTGTCCATGAACTGCTCCTTTCAGTAAATGTCAGCCTCGGGCAGAAGAGTCTCCGAGTCTCAAAACGGAGCCATTTCCCCAACGCCCAGGCCACACGCTCGAAATGGCAGGCCTGAGGCCTAGTGTGGAAAGCAAAGTCAGGGCAAAGCACGGAGGTGATTTTTTTTTAAGCAGTGAAACCAACAGATCACTCAGGCAGAAGACAGGAGGACATTTCCCCCACCCGATCTTCCTACCCCCCACTTCGGCACCAGAAGACAGAGAAAGAGATAGCACCAAGACACGTGGGTCTCCTACGGCACACACAGCAGTAATGGTTCTGACACACACACAGATTAACAGCTAACAGTGTGAGTTAGTGATTTACCAAGAAAATTGCTAAATTACAGAAAGCTACCTTCAGAAACTAGCAGTGAGTTTTGACATGTAATTGATTTCACAAAATACTCAAGGCTTTTTCCGTAGGAAAACACATACACACACACACACACACAATCTGTACCTGTGAGGTCATTTCAAACGGAGAGCTTCATTTTCATTCTGTCCAAGTGAGCAGAACCCACTGGGCATCTGGGGCTCACGGCTGTCGTCCTAGCTACTCAGGAGGCTAGGATCTGAGGATCACGTGGTTCAAAGCCAGCCCCTGCAGAAAAGTCCTTGAGCATCTCAAGCCAGAAGTGGAGGAATGGCTCAAGTGGTAGAGAATCAACCTTGACAAGAAGCTAAGGGACACAGCACCCAGGCCCTGAGTACAAACCCCAATACGATAAAGAAGAAAAAAAGAACGGATAGACCCCCCACCATGAACCCACATGGATCCAAAAAGCTCCCCCTGGCTATCCCTGAATGGCTAATGCTGAGCCATCCAGCTGAACCTGATGCTGACTCAGGCTGAGGCTACCTTCCCCCAGCCCCTGAAGGAAGCATGGAAGGAGCCTGCAAAGCCTTTGCTGGGGTCAGCGACTAACGCCTTGCTCGATCTACATCCTTTGATCTAGAGACAGGTTCGATGGCGCCATTCTGGAGAAGGGCACCCAAGCACCTCCTCCTCTGTACAGCTAAAGACTCCCAGAGGAAAGTCTTGGGAGACAGCTCGCAAGCCTGAACAGAAGCGAGAGAGCAGCCTGCTTAGAACAGTGCGGTTTTCTCTTTCATTTCAAACAGCCAGGAATTGGCTTTGTCATAGCCCACATTCTTGGTTTCTATTGACCAATAACCTGTGAACTGAAGGAGATTTCAGAACTGAGATGTAAAGAGAAAAAGAAAAAAGAAAAAAAAAAACAGATTCATTCTGGATATATTTTTCTACAAGGGGCTAAAAGTGTATCAATTCCATTTTCCATGTGTTTCATTTCTACTTCTACAGACGCTCAGCCCTCTCGCAAACTCTCCCCCAAACTCTTCTCCACACCCCGTCCAGGTGCAAGCCACGGCTCCCTCTCTCTCCTGTGTATCCACCGATCTACCTCGCATCCTCCTCCCTGGCATCACCCCCACCCAAGGCTGTCCCCAGGCCAGGAGGCCAAACAGATGGAGGAAGGTGACTACAGTGACCACACCGAAGTCCACACCCCAGCCCCACCCCCAGGATCTACAGTCCCACTCTCAACCAATCAGAACCCAGCAAGATACAGCCTCACACTGACCAGAATCAGACCAGACAACACATGATAGTTGAACGAAGCCTCACCTCTTAGGGGGGAGGCCTGAGCCCCCAAATTGCCCTCCATTTCCATCTTAATGCTTTTCCTATTCTCTTCTGGCGTCTCAGTCCTCTTGATCATGAGTGACTCCATGACACCTGCCCCCAGCCCCCACACACATACACACGCCGAGTTCCCTGTGGCCTTTTCCCATACAGTGTCTTCTTGCTTTGGGATTTACGTAAGTCATCACTTAGTGGACCGGACTCTGTGATTGGCTCCCAGACTGGACAATGTAGACAGAGCTGTTCCATTCAAGGAAGTTAACTGCCTTGATTTCTCTCCACAGCCAAAGAGATGGTAAAGCAGAGATGTTTCAGAGACTCACAGGGACATGACCCCATGCCCTTCTTCAGGGTGGGGTCAGATGGCCAAAGTACCTGATGGAGGCCAACGAGTCCTGCTTGTGTTGACACCACGCTACCTGCCCAGTTGCTTGGGGATTTGACTTGGGCCTCAACTCATCAGCAAATACTCAGAGATGAGAAAGCATGGTCTTAGCTTCCCCCCTCCCCCCCTTGACGTGGAGCTGGTGCAGCCAGTTGGAAAATCCTAGATGAGTGAAATCCTGGAAAATGTAAAGGGAGTAAAGATTCACCTCCGGTTCATAGTGAGGCTTTCTTAGCATTTAATGTAGGTTTTTTTCTGCTCTATACATAAAGTCGCCATTCACACACCCTCTTTCCAAGGTCTGCTTGACAGACAAGGGGCCATCCCTTCCTGACGTGACCAGAGAACGTGGGCCCTGCCTTACAGGGTTCTAGAAATCTCCACCTGTGCCCCACCAGGTAACAACGGACTGGCCCCTACACCAAACCTAGAGACTCTCGGTTCCGTGTGGGTCACTAGAGCAAGATCAGAAAAGGCAGTCTTTTGAGGCACCCCTCCCCCCAAGATCAGAGCTTATCAGAGCTTTCAGAGCTTTTGTTTTCTAAACAATCTTGCCTGGCTGGGAGTCCCAAGCTCAAACCCAAGAACCTTTCCTAGCGCCATCTTTCCCCACCGCTCAAAATGGCACCTCCCCAAGAAGCTGTTACTCCCTGGTGACATCAGCTACTTTCAGATTGGCGAAGGAAACGGGGGGGCATGGGTGGCTGGGTGTCCCAGCCCCATGGCCCCCACAGGTCAGCAGGTCACGCTGTCCCGCCACCAAACAACCCTGAATAGGTGAAGCCACACACACTCTGTCCCTTGAACACACCGTCGGCCTTGTGTCATGCCCCAAGTATATTTTCTGTGATTGCCAGGATTTCTCAACAGGCCTCCTGTGACTATGCTACATGTGAATTTCCCCCCTTATTTATTATACTTGTATATATACAGATTATTTTTTAATACATCCACTTTGGTACTGATCCAGTAGCCGTTATGTGGCATTTGGAATCCGCTGGCGTTTACCGTGGCGTCTGGCATGGAATGGAACACGCCATGTCTTTGCAGTGTATCACTTCGTGAAGAGAACACACCCATCGCCATAAACGACTGTCCTTGTAAATGTGCTTTTTCTGAGGATTTTACAATAAAACTTGAGAAAAACTTACCTTTTTTTTTTTTCTTCTGGTATCTGCCAGCAGTTTAGGGTAAGCACAGGCTTTAGGATTCTGACTCTTCTCCCCTAACCCCATCCAATCAACTCCCCGCCCCACCCCAAGAAGACCCCCCCAAAAAAATCACATCGAGGATTGAGTTTCAGTGTTTGAATGGGGAGGAGGAGGAGGGCATAGATTCCTTGTTTTTGGTACTGGTCCTGGGCTTGAACTCAGAGCCTGAATGCTATCCCTGAGTTGGTGTTTTTTCTTTTTTGTTCTTGTTTTGTGTTTTGGTCTTCAAGGCTAACAATCTACCATTTGAGCCACTTCTGGCCTTTTGGGTGGTTCATTGGAGATAAGAGTCTCACAAACTTTC